TTTTTTTATATTTGTTTTTATACTCACCTATGCTAATTTGTAGGGGGAGCTTTCGCTCTCTATTATCACTGTTTTCCCTATTTTGATGTTGACAAAGGGGGAGAAATAAGTATATTGTTAGTATATCACTCTATTGGTTTTTTGCATGAGGATTATAATTTGTATATTCATTTGATATCATGCATATCCTATATATTTTTTGTGTAGATTGTTTGTCATCATCAAAAAGGGGGAGATTGTTAGGTCTCATGTTTATGAGCCTACTATCAAAAGGGGGAGATTGTTAGGTCTCATGTTTATGAGCCTACTATCTAATCTAGTTTTGATGATTAACAAATAATTCCTTGTTAGGTCTCATGTTTATGAGCCTACTATCTAATCTAGTTTTGATGATTAACAAATAATTCCTAACATTATTTGTCGAGTGTTTATTTTCTTGTTAGGTATTCTACACAAAGATCCTCCTGTTAGAGGTTGGATGGATTGCGTCTTAACGATGATATTTAATAGAGATTGGCAGAATATCAGAATAAAGCCATTTGCAATTCAAAGTCAAATTCAAGATCAAGCTTCATCCGTAATCAAGACGAACTTTATTGAAGATCAATAACTTGGGTATAATGTTTTAGGCTTATACTTTGTGTGTTGATACTTAAAGCTCAAACATTATACCCACATACACATTTTTGTTTTATAGCTTTTGAGTTTAAATTGTATAAATATGAAACTAATAGTTATATACATATACATATATACTAGTTTCCTATTTATCGATTTTGCTTTGGAAAATAATGTGTTTAGCTATATAAATATGAAACACATGAATATAATTACATACACACATATTCGATTCATGTTTATATGTGCTTAAAATAATTTCATTAATTAACAAGTTTAAAATCAATAAAATCATGTTTATTTGAAAAATTATGTGTTTATAGATTAAATACTTAATTACATCATGTTACATCTTTTTCTAAGTCCATTAATCCATTCAAAATGAATATGCAAGTTAGTTCATCAAAATCTCAAGTGTATTGAGTTTTTATGTTTTTGACTATTTTGCAAAATGATGAGTTTTCATATTTGGGAAATGCAATTTAAAATTTTTGTAACATGTTGATTTATAAAGCTTTATAATTTTTGGAATTTATTTGTTATTTTTAAAAGGGGTTTGAAATCAATTTTTGTTGTTCATTATATGTCATGTTCATGTACCAGTCGACTGTTGAACAATATCAATTGCCAGATGAAATGCGCTGGAATAGCAGATAATTTCTGCTAAGTTAACTGATGAACCATCAGTCGACCGATGCATATTATTAGTCGACTGATGAGTTCGTCAGTCGACCGATAGCGGATGAGCGGCCTATAACGGTCAGCTCATCAGTCGACTAATTAACAGTATCAGTCGACTGATGGTATTGTATCGATTAGTTTCCAGCTTGCATGATTTTTGGTTTTTTTTATCTTTTGGCTTGGATTTTCTTGTTTCTTAAGCTTTGTTTCATGAACCTATATATACCCCTTTCCCTCTAACTTCTGAACTATCCAAGAGAATTTTAAAATAAGTTTTACAAGTGTTTAAGGGTGTTTTAGAGTTTTTCAAGTTTGTTTTGTGTGATGAAGTTTTCACAAAGAAATGGCTTACATTTTCGATTTGAGGAATTCAACTTCATCCCTTCTTCTACATCTCTTAGTGATTTTAAAGAAGTTTTCTAAAGTCAATTATCTAGCTTGTTTATACTTAAATTGTCATATTTATATTTGCTAGATTAATTCGAGTTTGATTTCTTGTTTATACTTAAATTGTCATATTTATATTTGCTAGATTAATTCGAGTTTGATTTTATTTATACTCATTGATTACACACACCCTAGATTAATTCGAGTTTGATTTTATTTATACTCATTGATTACACACACCCACTTGAGCTTAAGTATTTCATAAATAGTATATTGAGGCTGTGAGATTCTATCTTTGAGTGTGGGTTTATCTTAGTTCTCATCTTGTATTAGAGAACAAATCATTTTTTCCTGTGCCTTATTAAGTGAACACATTGTAATCCACAAGTACACCGAGAGGAGTGTGTGGTGAAAGACTGGGTCAATTTCAAGAGGAGTGTCGTTGGTAGTAAAGCGTAGGGAGAGGTAGTAAATCCAAATACTTGAGAAAGTTAACACGGGCTAGGCCAACACTTAGAGAGTGTATTGTGTGATTACAATTGTGTGAGTTGTAAAAAAATTTGGTGATCTAGAAAACCGATTGTGTGAGTTGCAAATGTGTTCGGTGAACTTTAAAAACTAGTTGTGATAGTGGAGATTCTCCTCGTGAGTGAGGAGCGGAGACGTAGGTCGAGGGCGATCAAACTCTGTGATCACATTATGTGTTTGAGTTTACCTTGGCATATTATTTGTGCTTATTGTTTATTACATTATATATCACCTTTGTCTCATATTTATATCGCCCTTGCTTTAATTACATATCCTTGCATATAATTTATTGTATATCAAAATGGCTAGGATAACTGTTAATTAGTTTTTAAATTAACATTAAATTGAATTAGATTAGTATATACCTTAT